TGGGTGGTTTACGCGTACTTGTGCTTGCCATATTTTCTAATGCACTCTCCGTTCTTATATACAAAATTCCAAATCAATTAAAATACATACGATACGGCTATGAATAAATAAAGTTTGACTTGTATGTAAAAAGAAAAGGTTTATTACAATAAAAACAATAGAAACATGATTAAATCTAAACGAAAACTTTTATTATGCTGATCAGATGTATTAAAATTATCATTTTAACTACAAATAAGCATTGAAGGTATAAATAAAATGTCTATCTCTTGAACCTGTACTACTTTCTGCAAATTAAATTACTGCACTCCTTTTTTTTCTAGACTATAACTTGGTGTGCAAAATAAAATATCCATCATTATTATAATTTTGATTGATCGAAACCTGTGCAACATAGTCTTAATTTGTGTTAGGAATTAGAAGAGACGCGCGAAATGGAAACGATGTTAATGAAGAAACGTGCATACCCATCCTTCAAATGTGTTAAATAATTGTTAACATTAGTATGAAAATCGAAACTGTCGATTACGACTATTGATTATACAAACAATGTTTAATAAATATCTGACATGGAGCTGCTGAAGGTTTTCTTTAAAGTATTCTTCTCAATGCAAATACTACGTCAATTTTTAACACTTATTATATTTAATTAGTGTTTAAAGAGCGAACGTAGCAAATAATTAATCTGTAATTTTTTGTGCATACATATCACGTATATCACTGCAGGTATTGAATTGTATTAGCTTTCTTTTATCGAGTAGTAACAGCCGAAGGGGTTATAGAATGACAATAAAGAAATGTCATTATTATACATTTTAATTTATACGAACTTGTCTTTAAATAACCAAACAAAAGTTCGCTCCTGCTAGTATAAAAATGTAGTGAGTCAATGATAATATGGTGATGAGTTAGACTTATTCAACAAACATAAAAATTACAATAAAACAAATACGTATTTCAACACGAATTTTAAACACCAATAAATCAAGACAAATACAGCATTAGCTGAAAAATTCATCGTTAAAATGTTTTTTTTACTCATAAAACCGTATTGATAAGAATTTTCTGATCAATTTAAATAGATTACGTTTGGGATTTCGGTTGAGCTCTAAGGCCATAATGAAAACAAATTGCATTTCGGCGAAACGAACATCAATATATTCTAAATTTTGAATTGCATCGAATTCTAACCTAACCAGAAAATCGAACCTTCCATTTGCATTTCCAGTAAACATATTAAATTCGTGAAAAAACAAACAAAAACAGCATAATCCTTCACAAAACACAATTATAATCTTTATCGACAATATGATTCGTTACTTAAGTATATATCTAAACTTACTTAACAGTCAATACATAATAATTATTAAATATATTTGGTATTTTGGAAAAACTTGATATTAACTGATTTCTTTAGATTTAAGTGATGATAAATCTGTGGTCCTGGGGAAAAAGTGTCAAAATGTATAGTTATTGAGATATTGACAAACAAATTTTACTCATATTATTTTATTCTAAAATAGAAAACCTAAGAAAGTATAAACACGTATTTTTTTTTGTTAATAATAACTCAGTTTGATGTCATTTACTTATATGATGATTATTTTAAGGATAATTTCAATATTAAGCAAAACACAACGGCTTTGGAACTTTTTCTTAGAGGAATTAAAACACTATTTTTAGAATAATTTTTTTACTTTAATTAAAATAAAAGGTGGTATTAAGACTTAAAATCAGTTTTTTTACTGAAAACAACGCATTTTAATTTTTTTCGGTTACAAAAGCAAAAAAAACTAATTTCTCGTTTTTAACAAAATAAAATCAAACTCCGATGGTTCCGTGAATAAGAAAATAAAAAAAAAACTTAAAACCAACTCCGTCTTTAACGAAAAGAAAAGTTCGTCGAATTTTCAGTCCTCTTCTTCGAAACAGGTTCTGCTGAAGAAGTGGGCAGCTTTCTGTAATACTCATGGAATAATGGATCGATTAATAATGGATCGATTAGGTGTAAAATGCTTAATAAGTTTTTCTTTTTCTCTTCAGAAATTCGTAAAAATGATATCGTTTTGAAAGTGTCTTTTTGAATTGAATAATACTAATCTGGCCACTTGCAAAATGCATCCATTGCACGTTATGTCAGACAAACTTTTCATTCTCGCAATTTTTAGTTTTGATTTGCAACTTTTTATTATAAAATGATTTAAAATCTAGAAAATCATCTTGTTGCATTTCAGTTACTAACAATTTATTCTTTTAACCAACAGTCCGAATAAGCTGTGCCCAATAGAAGATAGGCACCTTCTAGCTCATGAGCCAGCCTACAGATTTAATGTAGTTGACAACGTCGCCAAGAGATGCCTCTCTTATATCGGCCGGTGTTAGCCGATACTCGCCTAACACAAATCTTCTAATAAATGAAAGCGTCGAGCAATCGTAAAGGATATGCTCGATGGTCTCATCTTTTTGTTCGCACTCTCTGCCGAGTGCGGATTCTGACAGCCCCATGATATGGAGATGCTTTCGTACTTGGCAATGACCAGTCAGAACGCCTGTGACTAGGCGCAGATTCTGTCTAGTCATAGTCAAGTATTTGTTTGCTGCAGTGTTGTCAGGATAACTTAAGAGCTTCCTGGCAACTCTGCAGTTTATTGTTTCATCTCATCTTTCCTTGAATTACACAAGGGAATGTTCTTTGATTAGGTCTGTCACTACCGATTTTGTCAGGACAATAGAAGGGCCAGGTCCAAAAAGTATTTGGCTGGCTGCCTTCTTGGCTAGTGAATCAGCAAGACGATTACCTTTCGATGTGGCATAGCCTTTAATCCATCTTAAAGTGACTACGTTGTTGATGAATACTTCGGCCAAAGCTTCGTGACATTCTACTACTAACCCTGAATAAATTCGTGGTCTGTTCAGGGTGAGCTTGTCTGCTATCTGTATAGATGAGCATGTTCCTTCCAGTGATATTGTTTCTGGTTATTTCTTTTGCTACTATGAGAATCCCCGTTAGCTCTGTTCGAAATACGCTGGCACTATTGCTCACATCCCATTTTATTTTTAGGTTTAAGAATCTGGAGTATATTCCACATCCTGATCCTTGTTTTGTTTTAGAACCGTCGATGTAGATATGAATCGTACTTGCCACTTCCGGCTCTTTTATTTGTTCTATTATAACTTTATATGGCTTATGAAAGATATTTCGGCGAGATGGAGTCCATGTTCGCTTGAAGCAGTGGGAGCGTATCCAGCGCCTCCTGCCAAAAGTGACGTCTCGCCTCACCAGAGCCTACATCAGGTTCTATTCCGTGTCATAAGAATGACTTCCATGGCTCTAGTCGGTGTTGTTTTCATGGCTCCTGTTATGTTTAGACATGCTGTTCTTTGAATTTGTTTTAGTTTACGGATAGCTGTTAATTTTTGGGTTTTCGGTACCCAGACAACTGCACCGTATGTTAGCATAGGTCATATGATAGCCGTGTAAGTCCATACGACGACTCTGGGGGAGAAACCCCAGGTGCGCCCCACGGTTCGGCGGCATTGTTCATAAGCAATGTATATGCTCTTTTAACTCTGTTTTCTAAATGCGAGTTCCATGTTAACTTGCTGTCAAAGGTGAGACCTAGGTACTTCACCTCTGTCGCAAAGTTTAGTTTTGTGTTTAGGAGTTCTGGAGGTTTTAATTCCATTTTCATCCTTTTCTTTGTGAAAAGGACCATTTCTGTCTTCTTAGGATTGATAGACATTGAATGGTCCTTGCACCACTGTTCTATAATTTTTAGAGCTACTTGCATTCTTTCGCAGAGTATGTTATCAAAATTCCTTGTTTGCAGAATGACCAGGTCATCTGCATATGCTATATACATACATATGTAGTGACTGTCATTATTGAGGCGGTTGATGAGGGTGTCGAGGACAACATTCCACAGTAGAAGTGATAGCACCCCTCCCTGTGGACATCCCGTCGTAACCAAGCCTCTTATATTCACATCTTCTACATTTATGTTTACTGCACGCTTTAAGAGCATGTTATGTTAGTGAGTATTATCTTTGGGAAGGTGGTTTTATCAAAAGCACCTTCTATGTCTATGAAAATACCCAAGGCGGACTCCTTGTTGTCCAGGGATCTTTCTATCCGGCCAGCAACTAGATGAAGGGCGGAATCAGTAGATCTGCCTGGGGTGTATGCATGTTGGTTTGGGTGTAGTGGTGTTGTTGTAATCATCGCATCGCTTATGTACCTTTCGCATAGCCTTTCCAATGTCTTTATGGAAAACGATATCAGACTAATTGGTCGGTATGTTTTTGGGACAGTGTAATCCATCCTTCCAGGTTTGGGTATAAATAACACTTTTACCTCTCTCCATTTTTGGGGGATATACCTCAGAGCCAACGAGGATCTGAATATACCCACCAGATGCGGTGTGAGTTCTTTCAGACCCCACTGAAGTAGGGCTGAATAGATACCGTTAGGTCCTGGCGATTTAAATGGAGAGAAGCTGGATATTGCCCATCTAATTTTTTCATCGTCTACAATGTGTTTGGCAGTTTGCCAATCATAGACAGATGGATTGTATTCTTCCTCTGCCCAGTTTGCCACGTCTGTGATGACTGAGTCAGGGAAGTGTGTTGACAGCAGAAGTTTGATGCTATCTTCGAGGTTGGCAGTTTTGGTGCTATCCTCTTTGATTAGCGCACCAATGCTTCGGTGTGAATCTTTTGAGAGAGCTGTTTGAAACCTCGCTGCTTGCGGGAAACCTTCGATTTCTTCGCAGTAGGATCTCCATGCATCTCTGTTTTTGTTTGACGATTTTTTTGTATTCTCTGAGGTGAGATTTGTAAGTATCCCAGTCCTCTTTGAGTTTTATGGTTCTTGCCTTATTAAAAGATTTCCTAGCCATCTTCCTGAGGTGATCCAACTCGTGACACCATGCGGTAGTCGTCTGATCGTGTTGGACCAGCCTCAGAGGACAGGATTTCTTATAGGCATTGTTTATTGTGCATTAGATGGCGTTCGTGTACTTTTCCAAAGCAGTATTATTGTTTGGTGTTTCGGCAGGCAGAGTAGTTAAATATTTGAATAAACAGGAACCATTCTGGTTTGCTCCCCGGCCCCCTGTTGTTTCGTCCCATAAAAAGTTGTGTGCTCCTACTGCCCCATCAAAAATAGTTAAATTATAGACAGATATCTGTCTTTTGTAAAACATAATATTAGTTTGGATGTGTGGTGTGGCTAATACCTGCTGAAGATCAAATGATTTATCAATTTTAGCATCTTCCTTGTCTTTGGACTTAGCTTGATAATGCTTGCCAGCCATATCTTTATGTTTGTTCCATTCAATTTGAATTGCCTCTTGATCTGTCTAACTCGCAAGCTTAAATTGAAGTGTCGTTGTATGGCATTTTTAAATGATAAGTTCATTTCCTTATAAAACGTTCTATATAAATCATAAGACACTGAATATTTTTCTTGATATATATAAAGAATGCATTAATCGTACATTCAAATTGGCAGTCAAATATTCTTTATCTGAATGCAGTCTATAATGACTTTTGTATAGGGGAAATCAGTTGATATGTTTAATAACTTGATTTTTCCTTTGTCTGAAATTTTTGGTAGCGGAGCATGGACGCCTCTTTGATCTGGTGTGGAAATACTTGCAATATTATTTTCTCTAGAAGAAAGCATGTACTTAAGAAATCCGTCAGTAACGTCAAAGGTTTTTTTGAAACAATTTTGGCAAATCTTCTGCAGCTCCCCATTGATTTTAAGATGATATACATAACTTAGTGATCAATGTCTTCGATTTTTACCTCCATTTCGTAATATTTGAGTGGCCTTGGGTTGCGACGTCCCGAGCCCGTTGAGGTAGTCTATTTCTATCATTCATTGCCCAAAATAATTCAAACAAGTCTTTCCTCTCATTATAATCAAATCGATCGCTGCATTTCATTAGGTAATCATTTATTGTTTTACCATTTTGTGTGACATAAGATTTTCCTGAGTTTCTTTTTTCTTTTCTTTCTTTTAGAAGTTTTCTTGATCTTTGCTTGGTACATTATATTTCTGATTTTTATTGCTTTTGTTATCTCCGGAACATTGTCCTGAAATTTTAACTTTTTTCTGAGGAATAATGGGCTCTTCATTCTGATCAGAGGAGCTTATATTATCTGAATCAGATTCCAATGACGGTACAAAGTCGGGGTCAATAATTTCATTATCACCAACACCGGCAAAAAGATCTTCATTTTCTTTGTTTTGCTCCCGTGGAGGATTATCGAGTTGGTATAAAAATTCTTCATTAGCACCGACATTAGCTTCTGGAAATAGTGAGAAGTTTGGAAAAACTTACCAGAAGTATATTCAATGGCCGGCACCATTTCAACATTACTTGAATCACAATAATAATAATAATTGCTGGCAAGTGAATTCCCAATTTCTTTTACTGCTACTGGAAGGACATTCGCGTTGTTTTCGTCAATGCTATTGAGACTTGCTCCTTCTGTAAAAAAAAGAATCGCATTGTACTTGGGGATAAAAACTACAACGAATTTTTTAAGCAAAGTAATGTTTGCTGTAACTTACCACAATTAAATATAGTGGCCGGTTCAAAATCAGCATTACCAAAATCAACATTGACAGTAAATTGATTCCCAAATTCTTGCACATCTACTGGAAGTACATTAAGATTGATTTCTTCACTATTGTCAAAATTAGCTTTTCTTATGAAAAGAAAGAATCGCCTTAGACTCATACAATAAAACTACAATAGTTTTTTACAGACAAAAATAAAGTTTGTAGTATTTACCACGAGTAAATTCAGTGACCGGTACAAATTCAACATTACCAAGACCAACATCGCCGGTAAATTGATTTCCAAATTCTTGTACTTCAACCACTTCAACTGTAAGTTCATTAAGGTTTTCTCTATGTATGTTGTTATTAGCTTCTGTGGAACAAAAATTAAACGAAGAGATATGTATTTAACGTTGAATCAATAGTATCAAACATAACCTCAAAATTTGTATTCATGTTATTAAGTTACTTCCTTACCTTCTGCAGAGTCATTCTTCGTAGGTAATATCATGGAAAGAATTCTTTTGCTTCTTGAACACTCAAAAGTAATAAATTCTTAACAAAAACTTACAATAACAATCAGCTTATATTACCGTTCGCAACAACTAATGTCACATTTCATGTCGCGTAAACAAGACTATCTGTAGATAAGTTATTATTACCGATACCTTAGATTGGGCGAAAAATTGCTTAAGTCGACTTATGCCAATACCACGCCCTTCATATTTAGGTTAAACTGACTACATTAACATCTACCCGCGTCCTTTTCTGTTTAAATATTTATTAGTATTATTAGAAAGTCCTACCCGACATAATATGACTTAGGCAGTTGTATTCTGGGTAAAATATATTTAATTTAGTAAACAAACGACTTAGGAAGTTTGATCCATCAAAAGAGTGTGTAATTTAAAATGGAATGGTGACATTAGCTTATTTTCCCAAAAAATTGACTTTGGCACTTTTTTCCCATTAAATTGATTTTGAGTAACAGAACTTATGTAATTGTATTTTTAAGATTAATTTTTGAAAGTGAAAAATTTTGTTGGTTTAGTTTAGAATTAAGTTCATTAGAATTTATAGACTCAATAAAATATGATTGAGAATGTCTAAATCACACTAACTTTAAATTATTCATAGTTTAATAAAGTTCATTAGCTATAGATAGATTTAACAAGCGTACTTGCAATAGATTGTTATTAGTGTCCATTAAAGCACCAAAAATATAAACACTTATTAGTAATAATATACAGTACAAAAATTATTTTGAACATCTTGTAATATAAACAAACAACTCCTTATAATATATAAATGAGTGTTAATATTAGTTATACCACCCAGTGTATAATAAACCGACTTAACGTTATGAGCATATTAATTTGAGCATTTCATTTGTCCCAAATAATTGTTAACATTCTTCAAACGAAATTGCTAGATTAACGAGTAAAAGACGCCGACACATCATCTAATCATTATATTATTATGATAAACTTTTCATTTCAATCTCAATCTATCTATCACGATATGCAGTTCTTAAAGAAAAATATCCGATTGGTTAGCAATTAATATCGAACCATAACCATTAAAATTAAGAAAAGAAAAACAACATTTTTGCACGATGTTCAATGTTCACATAATGATAATTATAAATTAAAACTAATCTTCGTATTAACAACCGAATCCTTAATTTTAGAAACAATATCAGACAAAAACGAATTGCATTTTAGCGTCCCCTAGCGGGATAAAAAATGTTTTTTATAAAATATGAGTCTTCTTTTAAAATTAGTTTAATGCGTAGCATAAATTTGTAATTTTAGTTAATTGTGGTTCGGAAGAAAGTTATATCTAACAAGATTATTTCGCAAAAATGTCAGTCACACTTTAATATAGGGACCAACAAGAGTGAAAAGTGAATCAACAAAATTTCTGACAAATATTGTATCCACTTAAAATTCCCATCAGTCAAAATGTAACTATAATTGTATCCACGAGACATTTTCATGACAGCGGCTGGTGAAAATTAAAGTAAAATTCCCTAGATTTTAATACAAAATAGATTTTTTTTATGGTCTGCCATACCTCGAGAACTATTTATCTGGAGAATTTCGGGAATTTTTTTTTGCAAAATCGTTAAAGGAAAATATTTAAAAATGTTGTAAAGTTCCACTATGTCGCGGGATGTAACATATACAAAATATAATTGTTTTTATAAAAAAAAATCATATAATTTTTAATCATAGCTTTCAGGAAAACCAAAAAATATTTTAAAGGGTGATGTGTTTCATTATTTTCCTGTTTTTGTAAAGACCTTTTACAGACACCCTGTATATAAACAAGAAAGTGATCTCAGAAGAGATAGATCATCGAATCTCAAATCTAGTCTTTGATAAACTAGCTGTATAGTATCAAAAACTTCTAAACATTTTATAAGATTGTCTGTGAACACTTTTGTAGATTTAATTTCAAAAGTAAAACTTCTAAAAATAAAAATCCTAATACATTAAAAAACCACAGAATTATAGAGACTCAGAGACTGCGGGAGTTCCCAAGCAAAAGTGCGCAGAGAGTGCGTCTACTGTTAGATCGACAGGTTAGCAAGTAGAATAAGAAATAAGTCGATGGGACTTAGATGAAAGTTTTCATAGATATCGGTCATCAACTTCAGTGACTTATTTTACATAAATTTCCAAAATTTAATTGTTGGCATTTTTCCAAAATCTTTTTGCGTATTCTGGAAGAGTCTTTAATATCTAAATTTATTGATTGATCATTGAAAAAAAAATAAATACATTAAATTATCTAAATGAAATTTCAAATTAATAAATCAACGAAATTTTTGGAAATTTTAAAAATTTACAAATAGACAAAATGTTGGAGATGTTTTTACAGATTTATATTTTCATTAGCATCGTAAACGTTTCACGACTTTCTTATTTATGTCATGTTCATGAGTGTTTTTTTCTTTCTAAAGTGTCATCTAATAATTATTATCACCTAAATTATAAGCGTTATGAACAGAATGTAATTTTGTTTACGATTTTTAGTGCACCGATAGTACAAATACAAAAATATATACAGTGTGGTCCAATGAAAAGTATCTACCTCCTTTTCTTGGTTCCCTCAGATTTTTGTTTGGAGGGGAACACATTTTTTTCATAATTGCATCATTGACACTTCAACCTTCGAGCAGTGGGGTGAACAACCCCTAGAATTTAGATAGGAAAAGTACTAAGTGTGGCACATATTTAAAAAGGCAATTTTATAAGAAATGCAGTAATAATAATATTGTTGTGTCAAACTTCGATTTTAGCACCCTCGTGAGAGCGAAAATTAGGCACCTAGCCTTTCCTGTTTTCCTGAAATTTAATACACAAATGCTCGGGCACGTTGATTTTTGTATATAAAGGGACACATTTGAAGCATATTTTTAACTCGCATCTTCAACCCCTTGGTGGAAACAATCACACCCTTAAAATTTTAAAGTGGGGAAAGTGGGGAGAAGAGCTAAATATTTTAAAGGACAAACAACTTATTCTCTTTTAATACCCTATTTATTGGATTTTACTTGAACAGTTAATTCGAAAACGGCTTTAGAAACCTCAACCCTGCAGTTTTGGTATTTGAAACATTCACTTAATCTTTGGTTAATAAGAGTCAAAACAACTACAATAAGTAGGTACTAAATTTCTTATTTTATTCCATTCCAGCCAGTGTTTAATTGCAGATCCTGATTTAGTATGTAAT